GACCCAGGCCACTTGGCTATCTGGTCCTGAATCCGTTACGTATCTGATCTTTTCATGGCTGTCTGAACAACACAGATCCAATTTTTTCCAATCCGACCCAGGCCACTTGGCTATCTGGTCCTGAATCCGTTACGTATCTGATCTTTTCATGGCTGTCTGAACAACACAGATCCAATTTTTTCCAATCCGACCCAGGCCACTTGGCTATCTGGTCCTGAATCCGTTACGTATCTGATCTTTTCAAATGCGACCTGTGTGTGAATGGCCAGGTAGGATTCATCCGACCTGAACGTCATTAATACCTGACATAGGTCACTATTCTGCGTTTTGCTACACAGAAGCAGCGAGAACAACAACAACCATGGCAGATGATGATGCGGAGAGCAGTATTTATGTTTAAACATATTGAAAAGATTGAGTTTTTATGGTTGGAAAAGATCGCTAGATGCGCACCAGCATTATCATCCATATTTACTTCCGGAAAAAAAGAGCACGCTGGCCTTTGATGTAATTGCATCCTCTACTGCACATGCAAGGCACTTGCGTGGTATGACTGCAGTTCAAACAGGAGATCACATACAAGCCGCACATATTTGGAGATATGAATGGCAAAGTGAAAAAAAATCAGATTTCCCAAAAAAATCGGAATTGAGTATCAAGGCCTGCAGTGTGAACGTAGCCTTAGTACTCCCCAGATGACTGAGCTCCTCACCCTATATCTAAGGGAGAGCCCAGACGCACTACAGAGAAAACTTGTTTCAATCTTTGTATCTGGGATCTCATTCTTTTGGTCATGACCCAAAGCTCATGACCATAGATGAGGGTAGGAAGGTAGATCGACCGGAAATCGAGAGCTTTGCTTTTTGGCTCAGCTCTCTCTTCACCACAACAGACCGGTACAGCGCACGCTTCACAGCAGATGCCGCACCAATCCGCCTGTGGATCTCCCGCTCCATCTTCCCCTCATTCGTGAATAAGATCCCAAGATACTTAAACTCCTCCACTAGGGGCAGTACATCCTCCCCAGCCCGGAGAAGGCACTCTGCCCTTTTCCGGCTCAAGACCATGGGTCGGATTTGGAGTATTGTTGTTTTAATGTGTGAACATTAAAGATAAGCTTTATCTTACAATTAGACCTCACAGAGTCAGCATTTAGTGTTTTACAACTAACTAACTATAAGTCCAGCTCTCTCTTATATGTTGGGAGTTTTCACTGTGATCTTTTGGTGTATAAAGACATTAGACGGACATCCCAGGACTAAATTGGTTTTAAGGAATTCTCAAGCATGTGCTCTGCTGCACATTCATGTTTTCAGCTATGTATAGATAACCATTTCTTATCTTTATCTTTTCACTCATCGGGTTAGGGTGGTGCAGCACTAAACGGTGATTATAGAGAACACAGCAGAAATACAGTATATCTGACAGTTTTATCATACATGTTTATAACAGACATGTACTATCTAATATCTTCATTGTGAGATCAGTGGCCTGTGGAAACATCCAAGGCTTCACCTTAGAAGCATGCTGAATTTTTTTTCTTCTGATGTCTGATCGCATGGGTTGACCTTATGAAAGTTGGACAGCAGATGGGCTCATTATATAGTCATCAATTATTTCATGTGTGTTATGTGTTAGGTGATAAATTTGGTAATTTAGTAATGTTTAAGTCAACATAAGTAAAGCAGACAGGTCACAAGCATTAATTACATTATTTTAGGTTTTCTATCGATTATTTTTATTGGAAATATTTAAGAGAGAAAAAAGTGAGAAGAAAAGTGAATGTAAATATAGTAACAGGGATTATGACTTTTTTCCTTTTACTATTTTACAGTGCTTATTTATTCCTTAATGCCAAATGATAGATTAAAAGTCCTTCTAGTAACATGCATGAAAAAAAAAAAACTTAAAAAGTGAGTGTGGCAGGGAAAATTATTATAGATACAATTAGGATTTCAAAATTGCATATCGTATTCACCTTTTTTACAGAGTTTTTCTGTATTTTTTTTCTCTCCTTTTGACTTTAACACCACTTAATATTAAGATGATTACAGAAACGTTAGCACTGAGTACTTCAGAAGATTTAAAATCCACCAGAAAGAAAACAAATACATAATCAGCAGATTTGATCTGTTATGAATTAGAGGGGTCTGCAGTTTTACCCCTTGAGAGGAGTTCTTTTATTACTATCATAGACATAGATAGACCTTGCACCATCAGTTGAGAGGTCTGCCGACAGAGCGGCCATCTTAGGTCAGACCAGGCTGCTGTTGGGAAGACAATACCCATCAATTCAGGCATATCTTACTTTATGACTTTAGATGCTCTGAACCCGGTGATCTCTTAACCAGTTTCCAGATAAATTGTCTGACCGAAAAAAAGAGAATGTTTCCCTTGTTACATGGTACCAACTGATTGATCTGATTTTCTGTTTTAATACATAATTTTGACTTTTTTATTGACAGGTAGCAAACAGTGCTTCCTCTCAGGATGCCCGACATTTATACCACATATGGGTGCACAAATAAAAGGAGACCACAAACCAAATCCAGTGGAATAATTATTATCTTGATATTCCACAGGTATATGGGCATGGATAGTTTTTTTTAATATTTAGATTAATCTCACTGTAGTCTTGGAATTAATTGGCACTGCATTGGCACTTGACATGAGTTAAGATGGACAAATGACATAAAGTACAAAATAATTTTTATACGAATCTATAAAAATAGATGTAATTACAAAAAGTGAACTAAAGATTGTTTGTATTTACAGTCAAACATGGAGGCACATAGATGGGCTGGGCTGGGAGAACAGTGGGGTAGGTGAGCTGAAGGATCTGGATTCGACGGGGATCCCAGACACAATCCTCCTCCTGACCGCTCCACACCATTCCACAACCCGATGGCACAAATGCAGTGTCGTATCCATATTGATGCCAGGTCTTCTGCATAGGGTGGTTCTGGTAATTGATGGTTATCACTCTCCCCACATTTACCTGGACAGGGATGACCACCCTGTCCCATGCAGGGTGATTAATAGGATAGCGAAGTGCTTTCAGTGGGTCTCTACTGAGATAGACTCCAGGACCAAGCATACCATCTCGAGACTGAAAGAAACCGTTGGTGAGGATGCTCTGAGCATTCAAACGGGTGGTGCCATGATACATGATGTATGTGTGGTTGTCAAGCAGCTGCTGGGTAACCAATGGATATACTACAGGAGGATTATATAATTGCACCCCCTGTTGTATTGACATGTTGGTGTCGGTGTCCCTGCAGAAGAGGAGGTGAAACGTGTATGAGAGAATAAGAAAATAAACCTTATTGTCCTATAGTGGGGAAATTTTGGGTGTGACGGTAACAAGATAAATAGGCAGAAGACATAAGACCAACACACAAGCCTAAATCATTTGAATATAACAAAAAGGTACATTTAAAAGTTGAGCTTTATTATCTAAAAAAATATCAAATTACATCCACTGTACCACATTTATGTTAGTTTCAGAACAGGTGAAACATTTATATATGATAATAATAATGAGACAAACGTCTATAGAAACCTTTCTACTTCATATCATTTAATCTCCCAGTTTCATAAAAATGTCAAATTCACATGAAACCACAGATTTTAGCTAAATCATTTCTCTTCTCAACTTTGTGGAAATTTTAAAGCCTACATCCCTTTAACCAAAATCAATAATTTATTTTCCAATAGGTTTACTGTTTATTTGATACATATGTAGATCGCCTTTTCTGTTCATTTTTAAACATATGAATATAAGTCTGTGTCCTCCTGACTTACCTCTGGCTGTGTCTGCCTCAGAATGCAGCCTCAATCTTATTCCATTTCTTACAAAATATAGATCTTTTTTGTTTCACTTTTCTTTACCTGTTGTCTAACATAGGTGTGGCCTGATCAGCTGTAGCTTTGATTTCAGGGCAATAATTTTGTTGATAGGATAGTACCTTTATTAGTTTCCAGAAACTCATGATAAAAATCAAGGGAAATTGATAAGTAACAAATCTATATTCTGAAATCCAAGCTAACCCTTTTACCATGTTATCAGATGTTAAAAACACTTACTGCCTAACCGGTCCTGCACAATGAATATCTATCTGACATTGTTCTTTTAAGCTGCTTTTCCTCTTCATCACTTTACCCCTCCAGCTTCTCTCAGATTTTGAATCATTTAAGTGGAATTGTAAATTTTACTTATTAATCTGTGAAAAACTTGAATCTGAAAATGTATCCAATTTCTAAATGAAGATTTGAATACCAAATTCACAAATCTGATAATAAATGTCTTTCCTAATCACACAATTTAAAATTGGTATTCCTTATTCCATTTCCATTTTCTTTTCAAATGCATTTTCAAATCCTTTTTGAAATAGCATTTATTATTTTTTTTTTTTGCATTACCCAATCAGCTTAACTTTCCCATTACCCTTCTGGTCCTGGAGCACACTGAAAGCACAATTAAACCGATCACAGTTACACTCCCCATGTAAGCAGCTTTTCCATTGGGGGATGACACTTCTAAAGTTCAAACCTTGTCATAAACCCTTTAACCTTACCATTTTGAGACAGATTTGATGTTACTCCTTCCTTCCTTTTAACTGTGGGTGTAGCAGTGCTAAACAGAGATTTTCAACATATGGACCCAACAGATAGCAAACATCTTTGTGTGAGTCATAAGCTGATAATTGTGGTTAAGGACTCACACTTAGGCAATGATTATATAACCATTTTATATTCCATATTATACATTGTGTACAGTTGTAAAAGGCAACTTTACTTCCTGGAACAACTTCACATATCTTCATGAAGTACCGTGAGATTAAATATTAGACTGTTCCTTTCCTTGTACCTGTCTCTATGCTGGAGTTAAGATATGTGAGAAGTTGGGAGTGGGGATGACGGAGAGCGGTTGTCTCCTCCCGCTAGACAAGGGTGAAATATATATAGATACATGCCCTTCAAGGTGTATAAGGCCCCTCTAATGGCGTGAAGAGAAGACATCTATGGGGGTATACATAGTGTATTCATAATGAGTCCAGCACTTATGTCCAACGGCAGCCTAACTTTTGCATAACGCACTGCAGCGTAATGCCCATGAAATGATGCATAGGCCAGTGTCCTGAGGGGAGCAGGGGCGCCCGGTCTGCTTAGAAAGATATCTTTGATCGCGGTATAAAGAAGATAAAAAAGAGAAAGGAAAAAGAAAAAAAGAGGGTTTGCCGTCGCAGCAGATTCAGCATCATGTCTGCTAGGAAGTTTATTGGTGGTGGCCGTGGGCATGAACGCAGGTAGGATCCATCATACTCAACTTCTCGCTCACCCTATGATGGGGATGAAGTATGGAGGAGTACCAAAAGTTTCCTTCTGTGAACCCCCTTTATACCAACGCACTGCCAATATGCCATTAAGAAGTATCTGTCAGTTAGAAACACGTGCAGCGGTAGCTGGAACACATCAGATAAGTTAATATACGTTGGAGATAAGTTACGCATAGGTTATGCACAAGTTACTCATGGGTTTTGAATAAGCTAGACACCAAAACGTATGAGTAACTTACACTTAATATAAGTCAACAATGAGATAACTCACCTGTAACATATACCTGCATATGTCGTACTCGTATGCAGTGATGAGAGTAACGGCAAAATTACATTGGTGTGACGGGGTCTAATATGAAATTGATGGACAAAGAAAAATCATGCTATTTGAATGAAAAATATTACATTTTAATATGATTAACACATTTCCTATTAAGAGGAAAGTATTTCTAACCATAACAACGAAACATTTTTGAGATTTATTTCATATTTCTTAAGTTTTACATTACACGAATGAGGAAAAATGGTCAGAGCGGAAATGAGAAAATGATTGCAGTTTATCATAAAAAGTTATAAATGTGCAAAATATATATTTATTGTTCAATTTTATTTGACCTCATGCTCCCAAATAAACTTGAATCAATGGCTTGAGACACTTAAAGTATTGCTTCCTATTCCTCTTTGAATGTAAACTTAACAGTTTTCATGGAATTAACCTTTTACCTTCCCTACATTGACCTTAACCCTGATGACCACGCTGTCCTCCTCAGGGTAATCCAGAGGATATTGACTAGCTTCCTCCAGGTTTTGGCTTAGGTAGACCCCACGGCCAAGCATCATTAGATTGACAGAAACCATTGTTACAGATATCCTGAGCAATCTCACTGGTGGTGCCATGATAAATGATGAAAGTCATCCAGCTGGTTGAGCAATTGAAATACTTCAGTAGGAGGTTCAAAGCTGTCTTCAGGCCCATGTAACCTGAATGTGCTCATGTTTGAGTCAGTTATCTGAAAAGATAAAAGAAAAAAAAGAAGTGTAACATCTAAAATTAAATCTATTCATGTATTTTATTGACAAAAGCTCTGTCAGTGAGCCCCAGGCAGCAGTGTGAGTATGTGCGTAAATGGTTGAATGACTACATGTAGTGTAAAGTGCTTTGGACATGTCTCCTGACTTGAAAAAGCGCCATTTAAGTACAGGCTGTAACCATTTAAGATAATGCTTCTCATTTTTTGAATAAATATCACTAAAATTAAAGAACTTTGGCACCCACTGGAGTAAATTTGAACATTAATTCAGCACTTTACACCTTACAAATCACTGAAAAACTCTTCAAATCCTAATGGTGAAAAAGACAACATGCTGTGCTATAGATAATAGGTAAGGAAACTAAATGATGCAAGATAATTTGATAAAAAGGAAAATAATTCACCAACAAGGTTCTTTTTTTAAGTAACACTGAAGTTCAGGAAGTTCACCAAAAACATGGAAGCGCTTGTTTCCAGCAACACATTGCTATACATTACTGCCACCACAAGGAGGCACTAAGGTATCAGCTTGTACCACAATTGTTTTTAGTAGCTGAGGACAACTGTTCATGTGTAACATTTACAGTAGGTGCTTCCAGGGTCTCAAATTACTTTTTGTCATGATGGGTGTCACAGAGAGTAAGCCCAAGATGCAGAACACACACGGAGGCAATGGTAAAAGTCCAAAGAGTTTATTAAAGGCTCAAGCACATGAATCACAGTTCAGGCAGGGGGACTGATTCGCTGGGGTCTGTGCGGGGAAAGGGAGATGGCTGGATTTGAGCTTCCAGCTCACTGCAGG